TATGCTTTCTTTTCTCGAAAATAAAAGGCTTTTGCGAGAAAACAGTTTACATCAGATTAATCATTTACCTAAAAGCTACCTATGGAGAAAAAAATGAAAGAAATCGAATTTTCAACTCTTGCCGCTCAATACTCAAACTTTCCTGACCGACGCTCTTAAACTGTTTGGCACATTAATCCAAATCTAGCGGCTTGAAGTGAGTGGCATTTCTTACGCCATGTCTTGTGAATACTAATGCCTAGTCATTTCTTCTAAAACAGATTACTATAAAAGAGAACGCATTGCAACACGCGTTTGATTGTTCAGATTTCTATTTTAAATTGTAATTCGGGCTGCGTGAGAGTACAGCTTCCCCAGTGTTCTTTTGTCCGGATTTGACGCCATAATTATTAAATATGTCAAATATGCAAAATAACACTCATGCGTTTTCATGGAAACGAGGTAAAGATAGGAGTCAGAAAAAAAAATCCTTGCAAGCATCCTTCTCTCTTTTGTCTTTAAATTTTTATTGAAAAGATGCATTAAAGAGTCAATTACAGCTTTGTATGACCAAATAAAAAAATGTTGTAGGAACAAAATTTCAAAACTACCACAAATGGTCATGCATTTGGGGTACATAACTCCTCTTTTTTGTAAGAAAAACTGTTAACGTTGTAATAAATGAATTATGCGAGTTAAGCTACCGAGTTATGTGACGACTTTTTCTTACACTGAAGAAGGGTTATACACCCAAAACACCTATTTTGTCGACCACTTCTTGAAACAATTACAGGAAAATAGGTTTTGTAGCAACATCTTGAATATTTCTTTTTAATTTTTTTACAGGGATCTTAGTTCCAACAACATTGTGGATCTTAACGCAGGGGTATTCTCCAACCTGAAAAATTTGTGGAACCTGTAAGATGTCTGAATACTTATTAAATAACGCTTTGTTTAAGCTGTTTGACATACTATAATAAATCTAAATACTTATATAACGTGAGCAGTATACGCAATGTCTAGTGAACAAGACATTTCTTGTATCATTTCTTGTGAAACCAATCAATAGAAAGGTGAACGTATTACAATAATAACAATTATTATCATTCCTTTATTTATTCTCGGCAGTGTTTATAGCACTTATGCTATTGGGTCAGAGCAAATGATTGAAACAAATAATTCAAATCAAACATAACGGGGTTAAGGATCCCAACTAGCCGGGGGCAAACCAGCTGCAGCTATTTACAAGTGTGGTCAAAGATTTGAATTCGGGACTAGCGAGTACAAATCCAGCAAGCGGTCAGGGCGGGACTTGAACTCGGGGCCTCTGAATTGCAAGTCCAGCGCTCTAATCGCTCGGCCACGCTGCCTCCTTACAACTGAAGAAGGGTAATACACACAAAACGCCTGTTTTAAACAACACTTTCTAAAATTCTATTTCAACAATATTATTTTATGATTTGTTTAATTGCAAATGTAACGTATCTCATGCGAATGTTCTGTTTATTCTCTGACCATACATGGATTTTTGACCTTTTTAATGTGTTTTCTCTAAAATCAGTGCATTTCCTGAGGTTCCGACCTTATGTCGTTCAAATGCTATAACTTTAAGCTGATTGGTGAGGGAGTTTTTCTTGGTCAAGTCGTAACGCTCCGTTGTGTTTCTTGCTGGAGGCTTATTAAGTTTAACTATGTGCAAAGTGTACTTTAATTTTTTTCGCTCTGTTTTACGGTTATTATGATTATTAGTATAAGTATCATGATTACCGTTTAATTAGGCCATATTAATGGCTAATTATCTCCACTATTTCTTGTGTAGCAGATTACTATAAAGGAGAACGCATTGCAACACGCAGTCGACTGTTCAGATTTCTATTTTTCATTGTAACTCGGGCTACGTGAGAACTAGTACAACTTCTCCAGTGTTCTTTTGACCAGATTTCAGGCCGTAATTATAAAATGTGTCAAATATGCAAAATAACACTGATGCCTTTTCATGGAAACGAGGTAGAGACAAGAGTTAGAAATTGAAGAAAGTCTCTCTTGCAAACCAGCCTTCTTTTTTTTTTTTGATTTTTTATTCCAAAGCTTTGTCTGACCATATAGAAAAATTCTGTGAAACAAAATTTCAAAACTATTACAAATAGTCATTTGGGGTACATAACCTCTCTTTTGTAATAAAAACTGTTAACGTTATAATAATGAATTATGCCAGTTAAGCCACCGAGGTATGTGACGACTTTTGCTTACACTGAAGAAAGATTCTACACCCGAAACACCTATTTTGTCGACCATTTCTAGAAACAATCACAGGAAAATAGGTTTTGTAGCAACATCTTGAATTTTTCTTTTTAATTTTTTTACAGGAATCTTAGTTCNCAGCCTTCTTTTTTTTTTTTGATTTTTTATTCCAAAGCTTTGTCTGACCATATAGAAAAATTCTGTGAAACAAAATTTCAAAACTATTACAAATAGTCATTTGGGGTACATAACCTCTCTTTTGTAATAAAAACTGTTAACGTTATAATAATGAATTATGCCAGTTAAGCCACCGAGGTATGTGACGACTTTTGCTTACACTGAAGAAAGATTCTACACCCGAAACACCTATTTTGTCGACCATTTCTAGAAACAATCACAGGAAAATAGGTTTTGTAGCAACATCTTGAATTTTTCTTTTTAATTTTTTTACAGGAATCTTAGTTCCAACAACATTGTGGATCCTCACGTAGGGATATTCTCCAACCTGACAAATTTACAGCAGCTGTAAGATGTCTGAATACTTGTTAAATAACGTTTGGTTTAAACTGTTTGACATACTATTCAAATCTCAGCAAATACTTAATGTAACTAGAGCAGTATACACAGTCTAGTGAAAAGGACATTTTTTGTGCCATTTCTTCTTAAACAAATTAATAGGAAGGTGAACGCATTACAATAATAATTATTTTATTCCTTCATTTATCCTCGTTAGTATTTGTGGCACTTAATATGCTATTGGGGCCGCGCAAATGGTTGAAACAAATAATTGAAATCAAACATAATGGGGTTAAGAATTTCAACTGGCCGGAGGCAAACAGGCTGCAGCTATTTACAAGTATGGTCAAAGATTTGAATTCGGGACTACCGTGAAAAAAGTCCAGCTAGCGGTAAGGGCGGGACTTGAACTCGGGGCCTCCCAATTGCAAGTCCAGCGCTCTAACCGCTCGGCCACACGGCCTCCTTACAACTTAGGAAGGGTAATACACCCAAAACGCTTGTTTTAAACATCGCGTAGAATGCCCGGTCACATCCGGGAATTTAACAGGCTAGAGCCGCATTCGAGCCACGATTTGGTCTTTAAAATATGGCGGAATAATAAGACTGAAGCGAATTTGAGAGTTTTTTGTCTCTGATTGTGAGTTACTCGTAACCAAATCTCAATGGGTACCACCGGAATATTAATGTAAAAAAACATCAAATTCAAGATCTTACCTTCGATTAATGCCAGCTTATCGGATTTCACTGGGTTTTTCACGCTAAAAACCAACTAAAAAATCGCCATTTTTGTATGGATTTTCACTTGCGTCAGGCTGCTTGCGTAGACGTTCGCGGAAAGATTACAACCAAAGTTTGCAGAAATCGCGAACCTTACCACCTGATATCGTGCCATCTCTCGTCTGCCTTTAAAACCACCACAGTGTTTTAAACCAAGGAATGTGATAAAAACTGTTTTTTTTGTTTTCCTTTGAATTTGACCTGAACCCGTGAGGAGTAGCCAGCGCGAAGAAAATGCCCAGAAAACGTCTTTGAAAGCCAAAACAAATTCTCCGCGTTTCCGATGGCCGCCATCTTTTTTATTTTTCAAACTTTTTTCCGGTACTCCTTGACCGTTTTGTTGTTTTTATGTCATGTATGCTTCATTTAGAAGTTTCACGGATAAAAACAGCAAAATACTAACCCCCACCCGGACAGGAAATTTTTTTGTTGACCTCAATGGACCGGGAATTCTACGCGACGCAACACTTTCTGATATTCTGGTTCAACAATATTATTTTTTGATTTGTTTAATTGCAAAATTAACGCATCTGAAGCGAAAGCTCTGTTTATTCTCCGACCATGCATGGCATTTTAGACCTTTTAAAGAGTGTTTCCACTAAAATCTGTGCATTTCATAAGGTTCCCACCTCATTTCGTTTAAATACTATAACCTCAAGCTGATTGATGAGGGAGTTTTTTCTTGGTCAAGTGGTAACGCTCCGTTGTTTTTCTTTTATCTCCGCTTAAAAAAACAGCTGACGTAGCCTTTCACCTATTTTAAACTGGATCAGGGGGATTATTCCTCGAAAAAAGAGAATGGTGAAGAAAGCTAATCTCTGAAGGAAAACTTAATCTGTTCATGTTGTCCTTCAGCAGCATAATTAAAACCATATAAAACTGTTCTAGTGAGGCCTTGAACTGCTGTTTAAAAAGTAAAAGCTAAAATCCAAGCTTTTGCCGATCAACGGCATCATCAGGGATGAGAAAATATTCCGCGGACGCTATATATATGCAAAGAAAGGGTAGGGTGAAATGTGTAAAAGATGCGACGTATGTATGAAAGCTATAGAAATAAACTGTGAGTAGAATACAAAGCTCTAATGATGGAGTGTCTCTAGACAAAGAACCTCTAATGCGCTTAAGAATGGTCTCTCAAATAAAATACTAGAATATAAGGTCTGCGAATTCAGTACATTCTGCTCGGGAATTGAGTGTAGGCTTGCACTTTCTAATGTAAAATGCTTCATAGGGACTTAAATTATCGAGGTCGTTTACGCTCATAATAATCTTGACATCAATGCAATCCAGCAAGCGGTCAGGGCGGGACTTGAACTCGGGGCCTCCGGCGCTCTAATCGCTCGGCCATGCTTCCTTCTTACAACTGAAGAAGGGAAGGGTAATACACCCAAAACGCCTGTTTTAAACAACACTTTCTGATATTCTGTTTCACCAATATTAATTATTTTATGATTTGTTTAATTGCAAATGTAACGCATCTCAAGCGAATGTTCTCGTTATTTTCTGACCAAACATAGGATTTTATACCTTTCAAAAAGTGTTTTCGCTAAAATCA